TCTCTGTCTGTTACCTATCTGTCTGTTTGTCTGTCTATGTCATCTATCGATCGATCTATCTATCTATCTATCTCTCTGTCTGTCTGTCTGTCTGTCGTTCTCTCTTTCTATCTTTTGTTCTATCTGTCTGTCCATCTGTTATCTCTGTCTGTTACCTATCTGTCTGTTTGTCTGTCTGTCTATGTCATCTATCTATCTATCTATCTATCTGTCTATCTGTCTGTCTGTCTGTCTGTCGTTCTCTGTCTGTTGTTCTCTCTATCTGTCCATCTGTTATCTCTGTTACCTATCTGTCTGTCATTCTCTGTCGTTCTCTCTGTCTATCTTTTGTTCGATCTATCTGTTATGTCTGTCTGTCTGTCTGTCGTTACGTTGTTCTGTCTATCATTACGTTGTTTTGTTATTTAGTCATCATTCTGTCTGGCTATTGTTCTTTTAAATTTAGCTATTGTTAGTTCTAATATTGTCTAACATTCTTATTCTGTCTATCATTCTGTCTGTCTGTTCTGTCTATGTAGGAAACATTAAACATTTGTCTTTTCAAACTTTGCTTTTCATAAAAAAATACAGTTATGTGGATTTCTTTGAGGTTCAGTTCATTTGAATTTTTCTTCCTTGCATTTAAATTTGAATTTCAAACGTGGCATCATGTCTGCTACCTCAATTCAAATTCAATTCTAATTTAGCAATTGGGTTATAATTTAAAAAGTCATTCTCAGTTAAATTCTAAATAGTGCAGAAATTACATTTATTGATGCCGTGTTGAATATAATCAGAATATATTTTTTGCTTTCAGTGAGCATTCAAAGTATTATTTGATGCTTGAAGCATCACATCCTTAGCTGAATCTGAATTTGTATACTGTCACAGAATGTACTACATACATTTGATGAAGAACTTACTTTTTGGCTGGTCAAAGTATGTTCTATTATTATGCAAGTGTGTGGCATGAATGCCATGTGTCCAGAAAGCATACATCTGATGTATACTTTTAAATCTTGGTAGAAGGTAATCTGGGTACTTTTCCTGCATTGAGTCATGTGTACTGCTCATTCAGACATACAGCACTGCATAAAAGTGTTTGACATACTACTTTTGAAATACTATAAACTAAGGAAGTAGACATACCGGGAAGCAGAGAGAGTATGTATATTTTGCGGTTCTGAGCCTCGTATCACACATTCAGCATTTTAGCCCAGATTCGCAACAGCTGAAACCCTTTTCAGTGACCGAGCTTTGTTTTCTCATTAAATACACCCATCCCGAGTTTCGCCTTATCAGAGTCGCTTTCTGATGCCCGTAGACGGTGTATTTGTTTACGGGCCAGTCGTCTGGAGTAATTTATCATTAGTTCACTGTTGTCATCTTCGGCAGAACTAAAGGTGATTCATCGCGC